GGTCCTTGCTCCGGCTATACCTGCCGAAGACGGCTAGGGAAGGAGGGGTTCCTGTCCGGCGGGAGGAGTGTCACGGGAGCGGTCGCAGCCTCGGTGGGGTGGTCAAGCGCCTCCGATCATTTGGCAAAACCAAGCTCGCACCAATACGTGTGAAGCAGATGACTCGTTGTTCCATAGTTGCTCCGCGAGTAACGGCTTTTCATGCGGAGATACCATTCGTAATAGAGAACCGCAAGCATCGCATTACGATAGGCATCATGCATACATACTCTACTCTATCTCCTTTTTGTAAGGGTGCTACTAAAACGTGCGAACTGCAGGCACACACCTGTAACATTTGATTATTCAGTTAACCAGGTTAGTGCAGTCCTCACTAAACTTTTTGCCAGCCTTTGTTTTCTGGCAGCCCCTTCTCCTTCGCACACCGAAAGAAAACGTGGCCGTGCAGCGCGTAGCACTAGTAGAAAAGGGGGCATCAGTCCCGGTTGGTAAGGCCCTTTAGTCCCGGTTTTTGAACCGGGACTAAAGGGCCGTTACTAATGCCTCCCACCTTTAGTCCCGGTTCAAACTGGAACCGGGACTAAAGGTCGCGGCCACGTGGAGCTCCACCTTTAGTCTCGGTTGGTAACACCAACCGGGACTAAAGGAAATTTTGTGATTTTTTTTTGAATTTTTTTTATTTTTTTTTATTTTCAAATTTCTGAATTATTTTAACCTCTAATCTCTAATCACCACCCCTCATCACTGCTCAATTTATCCTTTAATCTCTAATCACCCCTCCTCATTCCTAATCATCCAACTTCCCGAACGGTCACCCATCCTCCCACTCCCCCAGCCTGAGCACGCTTAACTTCCGGGTTCTATTCTCCCTCGTTTCCAAGTCTGCACTTGTTGTTTTCCTGACAATAGTAAGATGTGAATCCTATTAACCCTCAGGAATTTTGCGTGAGCATGAAGTGACACATTTCATTGTTTGAGTTTGAAACTATTGTTTTAAAAAACAATAATTATTTAGTAACCTTAATATTTCTTGAATAATTAGTTTGACCATTGTTTGACCACAGTTTGACCAGATTTGACCAAAATTCAAAATAACTGAAATAATTATTTAGTAACACTAATATTCTAGAATAATTAGTTTGACCATTGTTTGAATTTTTTTCGATTTTTTCCACTCTAGATCTTAAAAGCCCCGTAACTTTTTTTCTGTTAGGTTTTTGAGGATTTTGAAAATGTTTAACGGGGATCCCCCATTAAATTTGAATGTAACTTTTCGAGTAGATGATTTTTCATATAAAAAACTTTTTCATCCGAGTCAGTATGCAAAAGTTATGCCCATTTTACTAAATTCTAGAGAGATTTTGCAAATAAAGTCAAAATTCACATTTGCAAATTTTCCCAACAACTAGACCACATATCACATGGGAAACTTAATATTTTTTTATTTTTTTGACATTTTCATCATTTTCTTTTATTTTTTTAAAACTGAAAAGGCGATCCAGGGGGGTGGAGTTTGAAAATGTGACCTTTAGTACCGGTTCGTGCCATGAACCGGTACTAATGCCTCAAACCCCATTAGTACCAGTTGGTGGCTTGAACCGGGACTAAAGGTCTAACCTTTAGTCCCGGTTGGTGCCACGAACCGGTACTAATGGGCATCGCACCCTTTAGTCTCGGTTCGTGGCACCAACCGGGACTAAAAGGTCCAAACGAACCGGAACAAATTGCCCACGTGGCCCCTGGGTGCACGAACCGGGACTAATGCCACCATTAGTCCCGATTCTGAACTGAACCGGGACTAATGGGCTAACCCTGGGTGGACCAAAGCCCTCTTTTCTACTGGTGTAGGGGCCTTCTTCTATTCCAGTATTTCTGTTTCTACTTGGGCGATCCCCTGAGTACGTTCAAGGCACCTCTCGTGGAGATGGATAATCATGCGGTGGAACGAAGAAGCGCGCGGTCCGCTCCGCTCATGCATGCCTCAGTATTACTACCTGAGTGCAGCACCTACCACTCGAGCTTCTGACCACCCCCTGACGTGCACTGGTGGAAAAAAGGCCTTTGGTCGCGGTTCGCAACTGCCATTAGTCGCGGTTGCGCAACCGCGACCGACCGGGCGCGACTAAAGGCCCCCCCCCTTTAGTCGCGGTTGCTTAAGAACCGCGACTAAAGGCCCGTCCACGTGGGCGCCAGGTGGCCGTCGGGGCGGAGGACCTTTAGTCGCGGTTCTTCTGGCCAACCGCGACTAAAGGCCGCCGCAGGTTTAGGGTTTTAGCCCCCCCCTAAACCTCCCCCCTTAAACCTGTTTTCTGTTTAATTTGTATTGTTTTATTTCTTTTGTGCTTTATTTTAATTTAGAAGGAGTTTCATATATTCTACGGTACTACATACATGCATATGAATGTACAATTTCAAATAAATTTGAAATTAGAACCGAAAAGAATTCAAGAGGAATATACAATATATATTCAATATCATCGGATGACCATATACAATTTTGAACAAGTTTCCATACATGATTTAATGCATATAAAGTTCTACGTCCTCATAATAGTGTTCTCCTTTAGGATGGAGGACTTCCCTGCTGAACCATCCAGCTAGTTCCTCTTGAAGTGGTCGGAAGCGAGCTTCTGGACTAAGCATCCACCGGAGGTTATTCCTCTTAGCATTGGTATCACTCGGAACCTGCTCAGAGGTGTATCTCCGGATCATCTCACAGACATAGTATCCACATAGATTGGTCTCCGGTGGCTGAATATCCCCAGCATTCTTAGCCTTTAACATTTTGAATTCTAGCTCTTTTTTGAATTCACCGACCTTTGTATCTACGAACCGTCTCCAAACCCTACGAGGCAAAGAAAATTAAATGAACAAGAGAGTTATTAATTAGTTACTTGATATTAGGAAATGAACGAAATAGGCCGATCGATATAGAGCGCAAATGAATGAAAATAATTACTTCTGCAGCATTCTTCTCATGCCGCCCCAAAGCTTTGGATCCATATTCACAGAGTCGTGGACGAGACATTCTGAGGTGTTAACTTTAATTACTAGCAGAATCCAGTGGAACCTGCGGACACGATACATGCACA